TCGATATAAAATGGGTAGCAACTATTCCTTCGCGATGTTTTTTTCGATGAGATCTTAAACACAGAGACGCCAAGTCATGGCAGGCAATGGCACCATAAAGTTCCCTAGCTGCTCAATGGCCCTGATTGCCCAGTTAAGATCAAAATTTGCAGTCTTTCACCCTTACATTATGATGTCTCTATAAAATTGAAAAATTCTAGATTGGGATGTAAAACAACATACAATTATTCAATTATTTGAATTTATTTTAAAGGAGTTAATGCTATAACTTTTTCGTTTATTCTTTGCAAAGAATTCGTTTCTAAAATAATAACTATAGAATTTAAAGAAGTATACCCCGGTATAGCAATTAAAAGTGAAATTTTCCATGAAAACATAGAAACTACGTAAAATAAAATTGTATTTATTAGTTCAATATCAATCTTATCATCTTATATGTAACTTTAATAACCATGTCCATTTTTATTTCTTTATTTAGGACATATGCAATGTATTTTGAACTCACACAAATAGACACAACTGTACTCACAAAGAATCAGATAAAAAATAACAAAACAAATAATTCTGTAAAAACATTCAACAAAAAGAAAATGTATCGATATGGGATATACCTTAGAACTTTTTGTTACTCTTATATATTCTTGTACATGATTTATGATGATGAATTTCCTTTAACAAGAAAAATCCGAATTCCCATGTTAAAGGATATTTAGCACAAATGGTATGCACCAATTTCATATAAGCTTTCATTTATATAAGTTTATTAATTAACTCCTTTTAACAGAGAAAAAACCAATGCCGATTTATAATATTTTTCGAGATTTTTCCTGAAAACTAGAATAGCGTTTTATTCATATTCCTTGAAACATTTCTAAGGAAAACAGTATAACTTTCTCAAATTGGAAATATTTTTAAAGGAAATGACGCAATCTATGAGCTGACAAAGAACAAGGACCAGGAACTCCGGGTTGAGCTACAAGATTTTGATGGCGATGAAGCATACGCTCAGTACTCTACATTTTATGTCGGTGATGAAAGTAGTAAATACAAACTCACTGTTTCTGGATATTCAGGAACAGCAGGTAGGTCTATTTAAAACATACCAAATACTGTTAATAATTGTAATGTCCTCAGTAAATGACAACTCAGTTTAATTTAAAATCTTTAAATTCTCAGTTGTTTTTTGGTTTTACTTTCCAACTCTGAAATAGATTTTTATTAAATTTCCTGTCTAGTCAAGACTTAAAAAATTCAGTGAAAGTGCAATACAATGACAAAGACTCATGTTAAACGGGAGTTAATTTTTTCTTAATGATCGTTATATATATAAAGAGATTCACGCACGCTAGTGTTCTTCATGAAATATATAATAACTCAATATTTCTTTGCGCAGCTCAGCCCTATTTAGCACTTTCTGTGATAGGAATAAGCATAAACAATTCAACACTTTGTCGCGACAGTTTCGCTTGCTAAGTGACCTTCACTAAGCTTTTCGCACTATGATTTCAAAATCTGAGAGTCTTTAAGAAATTATAGTTCATAAAATCGGAGACCCTCTTAAGAAGCCGCCTCACTGTATATACATCTCCATGAATATTGTCAAATCCTTATTTTCAAGGGATGCAATTTTTATGTCTGATCATGAGTAGAAATGTGGGCATTCTGGAAATAAAATTTTATAGTTAGCGATTGATTGATTGGCTGATTGAATCAAAATTGACGTCTTTTACAAGATTGATGATTCATATGACAAGTAATCACTTACATGTATCGTTGGCAGGCTTAAATATAGGCCTTGAAACTATCAATGCTCTGTTCCAGGTGACAGTTTGAATTATAGCAATAATTTAAGATTCAGCACTAAAGATCAGGATAATGACGGGGAGAGTAGGAACTGTCCTTCATTTTATCATGGAGCCTGGTGGTATCTGAATTGTGCCTGGTCGAACCTAAACGCAGAATACGCCCGTTCTGCTGTGACTGGTGATAAATACATGCATTGGTATCACTGGAAGCAAATAACAGAAGCACTAAAAACACTGTGATGTTGATTAGATCCAAGTCCTAACATGTTCAAACTGATTTGAATGATTTCAAATAAACAAATAATACAAGCAACTTCATTTCAAGAACTTTTGTTGGTATATTTTACTTTATGATTTAAACTCAAATGCTCAAGTGAGCTTTTCTGATCAAAAAGTATCCGGCTTCTGTCTGTCTTCTGTTAGCTTTTCACATTTTCGACTTCTTTTCAATAAGCACTGAGCCGATTTCAATCAACATTGCCAAAAGGCATCCTTTGGTGAAGGGTATTAAATTTTTCTCACAGAAAGTGATATATTATATGCCTTCTATCAAAGGGAGGTATTTAAGAATTTGTGGAAATTTAGAGGCATGTTAAAAAAATATTGAAGAAGAACAAACTACAAACTTGGACTTTAACTTATCAACAAACACACCCCTTCCAAAAGGCAGTACAGTATCTTCAAGCATTTAGAAAAAAAAGTGCAGAAAACCATTTGGGAGAGACAGATAGGCAGTCGGACAGCTTAGACAGACAGACAAACGGACAAACACAGTGGAAGCTTATTCTATTCCCCTCTGGTTTCACCGATTTATATGATTAAAAAATAGTTTGACGGTTGCATAGTAAACTGAGAATTGAAATTTTTATTTTCATTCTTCGTATACGTACTGTAGAAGTACTTTTTCCGCGTTGTATTAATTAACGATACTTACGCGGTCACAACTTTTTCCGCGGAAAATTGTCCCATCGTACTTTAGATGCATAAAAGGCTATTAGTGATAGTCCTAGTAATTTTCTACCCGCGGATTAAACAGAAATAGTTATTCCGCGTAATTATGACCTCATGGAAAAAGTACGTTTACAATATGTAAAAGTATTGAAGAAGGGACACTTGTAACAATGTTCCCACCCTCCCCCTAAAATGTTCAGCAATTTTATTTGATTGGGGAAAAATTCCCGAAAAATTGACTCTGGTGTAGGATTTACCTTGAGGAAATTTTACTCTAAAGCCAGTTTTTCCTGGGGAAAAATCCCAGTTTAGAGCTAGTTTCCCATTGGGGAAATCCTACTTTAAAGCCAGTTTTCCGGGAGGGGGGGTCCTACTCTAGAGCCAGTTTTCCGGGCGTGGCAAATCCTACTCTAGAGCTAATTTTTTTGAGGGGAAAGTGTTTAGGGGGGGGGGCTACTCTACAAGACCAGCATTTTCTAGAGAGAGTGACGTAATATCTCTTGAAAACGATATAATATTAGCTCATGAAAACGACATATTTTTCGACTTTAAAGTATGTTACATACATTAAACAACCTGGATTTAGTACTTTGCTATTCGTTCAGAAATATGGATGAAGAGTATACAAGAGATGATACATGTATCATTAAAAATGCTTGAAATGACATATAAATATTCCACAATACAATGATTTAATTGGAACATCACTGTCTTATTCATTGCTGTTTTCGGATTTATTGATTATGTTTTTTTCCCAATGATTTTCAATGTAAACACATACTACATGTACAGCTGATAATGTATAAGAACATTGTATTCTTGCATTTAGAAATACGAATTCCCTATCGTATTTCATTCAACTAAAATGGGCATCACAAAATGGTTTGAATTATTTCTAGTGTCTATGGGTTATGAACTTATTAGCTCACCTGAGCCGAAGGTTCAAGTGAGCTTTTCTGATCAAAATTTGTCCGTTGTCTGTCGTCGTCGTTGTTGTCGTTTACTTTTCACTTTTTCATCTTCTTCTCAAGAACCACTGGGCCAATTTCAACCAAACTTGGCACAGAGTATCCTTGGGTGAAGGGGATTCAAATTTGTGCAAATGAAGGGCCACGCCCTTTTCCAAGGGGAGATAATCATGAATTTGTTAAAAATTAATGGCATTTTTAAAAAAATCTTCTCCAGAACCGCTGGGCCAGGAAAGATCAAACTCATGTGGAAGCATCCTCAGGTAGTGTATATTCAAGTTTGTTCAAATCATGACCCCCAGGGCAAGGGTGGGGCCAAAATGGCCGACCCAAGTTTTACATAGGAATATATAGGAAAAATATTTAAAAATCTTCTTCTCCAGAACCACTGGGCCAGGAAAAATGAAACTCATGTGGAATCATCCTCAGGTAGTGTAGATTCAAATTTGTTCAAATCATGGCCCCCGGGGCAAGGGTGGGGCCAAAATGGCCGACCCTAGTTTTACATAGGAATATATAGGAAAAATCTTTAAGATTCTTCTTCTCCAGAACCGCTGGGCCAGGAAAGATGAAACTCATGTGGAAGAATCATCCTCAGTTAGTGTAGATTCAAGTTTGTTCAGATCATAACCCCCGGGGCTAGGGTGGGGCCAAAATGGCCGACCCAATTTTTACATAGGGATATATAGGGAAACATTTTAAATTTTCTTTTCAAGTACTTCAAAGCTATGATTAGTGATATTTATATGGAATCATCCTCTGGTAGTGTAGATTCTAATTTGTTCAAATGATGAACGCCTGGAGGGGAGGGGGGGGGATTCAAGCCCGATGTGCTCAGGTGAGCGCTGTGGCCCCTGGGCCTCTTGTTATCTTTTGGTTCCTCTAATTTTAATAAACATTTCTACATTAACGTCTGATTTAATAAGATGTTGAACTAAGTGCCACTTAGGATTTTAGTTTTTTATTCTTTAATTTTTCAATATCAAATTCAGAGTTCTTTTTTGAACATTCAGAATATGAATTTTAACATAATAATAATGCAAAAAGACGTATTACAAAGTTAGTATGATTAATACTTTTTATTATTTGGAAAAATTTGGAAATTATTTGGAAAAAAAGCTTCGACTTTAATTTATCTTAGGGGATGGTTGTACAAAGTGTTGAAAAGTAGAAATTTTAAATTTACTGGCTTTAATGCAATTTTGAGATTTCAAATTTTCTAAAAAAAATATCCTTGGGTTTTAAATAAGATTTTGAACAAAACATAATTGAAGCAGAGCAATCATGACCTGTAAAACATTGATGGATCATGTGCCATGGAGGATGGAGGATACAATGTCGATCGCTTACACACGCCGTGTGTACCTTATCATGATCTAGATTGTTTTCATATTGCCCCTCAATCTCTTTATAATATTCATTATATATATATATATATATATATATATATATATATATATATATATATATATATATATATATATATATATATGTCACAATCAATATTTAATTTTAATTGCATTTACATTATGTTTATGGTTTTTATTTTATTTACCCTTTACTGGACCTCTATACTTTTGTTACCTTATTGAACCTCAGTTAAGTTTTGCAGGTATTGGTCAGTTACGACCTATTGTATTTTGGGGTATTTAAATCGCTGCATAGCTGACCAGGTAACCAGGGTCCACGTTTTCATAGCTTTTAAATGGTTGACATACAGTCCAAGATGAGTGGCTAAATTTTTTCTTTCAACGGTAACCATTTCTCCAAAGGGGTAAGTTTGTTTTTTATTTCATATGTAAGTTTTTGAGTAATACATTTAAAACGTAGAACTATTTAAGAACTTGAGTTAATTAATGTTTTTGTTACTATTTACGTATACAGGTTTTGCTGGGTAGAGTTACTCATGCGTTTATTGTTCTATTTTTGTGCAATGTACTGAGTTATATACGCACGTAGGCTATTTTGTTTTGCCGCTTATAAAGTCGGTGTTGTGGGTTTAATAGTTAAAACCACTTTTGTTAAGATGTTGTGTATTCTTAACGTTTTTCTTATTATAATAGTGTTCGGTTAAAATTACCGGGACTGATTGTATGGTGTGCCATAAGTGCAATTGTAGTCAATGGTGACTTGAGTTTTCCTTTTGTATACGTGGCTTGTGACTTAAAAAAATGTTATTTAATTCAAAGGTTCCTGATGTTATCCAATGTTAATCTATCCATGTGTGTGTTGGCAATGAACTTACCAGACCGGGATACCCACTGGGAGCCAGTTGGCGGGAGTCCGTCGTGAAACGGGTCGTGTCTGGATAGACGTGGTTTAGAGTCAACGATATTGAGGATTAATAGAGACTTTAATTTCTGTGTATTGTAAATAATAGCTGTAAAAATATGTTGTAAATATTGTTTTTATTGATTTTATTTATAAATAAAAAAAATTGTAAATAGAAAAAAAAATCTTGTTATATCTGACTGGACAGAGCACGACGGCTGTCGTGACAATATATATATATATATATATATATATATAACAATTTTCTCAATTGCCAAAATCAAGGTATATAATTTTTATTTTTTGTGATCAATATTATTGAAAATTAAGAATCATGAGTTCCTGATTGAAGATGAAGTGCATTTGAGACTCATAAGGCCAGTAGCTATATTACTTTTCCGTAAAAGCAAGTAGAGTCTTCCGTTGAAACAAAATCCATTATTAGGATAAAAGTTTATCAAGCATCGACCATCTTTTCGGCGGAAAAAACAAAATATTCTAAGTATTTGTGGTCCTTACTTAGATCGTCAACGCCTAGTTCTACAATGTACTAAAACAGTTTTTTATTCATCAATAGACACTGCGAGGATGGGGATTCTACAAGTACCTTGCTTTACACTCTTTTTGCACTTAAACAGAATATTTGCCCTGATGCCTTTAATTGAAGGCGAAAGTTCTGATAAATATGGTTTGTTGCCTAAAACTGTAATAGATAAAGGGTCAAATGTGTTACGGGAAATCCTTAATCAGGAGAGCTTGGTGCGCTTTTCTATGGTGCAAAAAATACAGAGTTTAATGATGGATGCTACGGGCAGGAAAACTGATAGTCAAGTCATAAAGTCGAAACTTAGCGAAATGACAAAAGACTTAGAGAATTTGGAGTTAGAATACCAAGTAATGAAGGAGGAAAATGTCAAACTTCAAGAGAAATAAAAAGTGATTTACTGGTCAGTTAATGACAATTAAAATATTACTTTGGAAAAAATCAAAACCTTGAATGAATCTCAAACTAGCACTTTTGAAAGCAATCTCAGAAAAATGAAAGAACTTGAAGATGATGAAAGAAATGAAAGTGTGGCCCTAAAAAACAATGACCGTGCATTAACAAATGAAATTAATGTTCTCAAAGAAAAAATGAATGAAATGAATGTGACAATACATTGCAGTGTGGACTTTGTCGGGAGGGTGAAAATAACAGAGGACATATTAAAAGTATTCTGGTTCCTTTCAATGAAACACGAGAGGATTCTGAGGATGTGAATGAATTGAAATTGGTATCGTCAAAAGTTAAAGTGTTTCTTTATATTTCAGCTTGGAATTATATTCAAAGGTAAAATGCAGACAGATTTTTTCTCGAATATATTTATCGTACTATCAAGGGACAGTGGATATACATGTTAACGAGTGTACATGTAGATAAAAATGTTGTATATCAAAACAAACAAGCATAATATTTTAAAGCACGATTAATCTAAATTAATATAACAACTAGTAGCACTAAGGCCATTATAGAAAAAAAAATATCCGAAATTTTCAATAAACTTACAGATATATTATGTTTTGTTATTCTCATTATATAGATGTTTGGATTGATCGTATCAATCTATGCAGATTAATCTATTATGCAATTCAAGTAATTGTAACAATTCTTATTCATATTAGAAGTAAAAGAGTAAACATAATCGTTTTCAATAGTTTGAAAATTGTCACTTTAGCAAGGCTATTTACTCGGGGCATAGCTTGTGCTATCCAATCTTTGAAATTTCATTTAATTTTTGCCGCCAATTTTGATTTTCTACAATATGTTTGGATGACACCTTCTCCAACAATGATGAGTTTGCTTTTCTGTGAGGATTGTCCAAAAACAACATGGGACACATTTGCTATATTATTTTTGTGAAGTCAATATATCTATGGATTGACCTTATGAAAAGGATATATTGCTAAATACAATACCTTTTCAAAATCTTTTTAACCTAATGAGCTTTGTTTAATAAAACCTATTTACATCCAATGAATATTTTCTCCTCAAGATCTTTAGAAAACTATTGTCGTTCATCAGTCAGTAAATAATACTACATGTAAATAAAACAATTTAGCATTCATTAATGGAAGAGCCCTTGCTCGTCCAATCCGTACAGGCAATATGCCTGTACAGATTGGATGAGCAAGTGCTCTTCCATCAATGAATCGTACAATTGTATGCACTCAAATATCACAATACTTAATCTACTTAATCCTATTTTGATTATTTGTACGGATATACATAAAACAAAATAGTCTTTGTTTGTTTATATGGAAATTAACGTTGCATGGTGTATTGCGATAAAAAATTACATAATCCATTTACACAGGTTATGCATTTTTCTGTAACAGCTGCAACCTTAATTTTAAAACTTACAATAAAAGAGAAAAATTTACCTCCAAATCCTTCATTGTTCAAAGTCGTTCATCTACATATATTTTGTCAGACAGTAGTGCTTCAAAAGAATTGCTGGGAAATTTTACGAAAAGTCCCGAGCATGTTTGGAAGAGATGGATTATACACAGTTTCGTTGCCTTCGAAGAAAAGCTTGTTTACTGTGACATGAGTACAGATGGAGGAGGGTGGACGGTAAGAACAACTTGTTATAAAGTGAAGAAAATAATGCAGTTTCAAGGAACTTCCTTTCCCTACAAAATGTTATCTCTTTAAGTACTAGTCAGTGTGAAAAGTAAGGATAACGAACAGTGATCGATATAATCGAAGGACTCGTGAACATGCAAAAAAATCCCAAATGCTTGGAAACACCAGAGTGTAAATGGAATCAACTGGCTAGGAGGCGTAAACATCCCTGTTAGACCGGATCTACCCGCCGTAAAATTAAGTAATAATAAAGACGGAAAACAAGGAGCACACGGTGGTTTTGACCGGTCAGCAGTGGATGCTCACTCCTCCATGGCACCTGATCCCACCTATGATATTTAGGGGGTCCGTGTTTGCTCTGCTCCTATTTATTATTGTGTTTTTTGACTTTTGATCTTGGATGCTGTTCGTCATCTCCGTATGTTTCATGTTGCAATTTTTATCATAAAAGTAAAATCCTTACATGTGATACGTAGAATTTGCGAAAAACATGCGTTAAAATTCTAGGATCCATATTAGACCAACTTTTTAATTAGTAGCTTGCCTTGTTTTCAAAACATATATATAGAATACTTTTTTCTGAATTACAAATGTCAAAAAATGTCCATTAGAGACAGTAATGATCAAGAAATTCCTATGGTTTAAATACCTGAATTTATATTAACAGAAATCTTTGCTAAAATGAATCGACATATCTTTCGGCTACAGTCTCACCTGAGTCATATTGGGTTTGTCTTAAGGAAGCTTTTTAAAATATATTCGTTTTTTTTCTCATTTATCTTTTGAGCCCAAATAGTGAAGCTACAATAGTTCCCTAAGGACATGAATAAACCGAACTTGAATCAAAAACACGATGGCAAGATTCCTATCAAAATAACAAACGCTTTACAAATCTAAAGAAGAAAAAAATCAAAGAATAATCTTAACTGGTAAAAGAAATTATAAAATTTATATGGTGTAAATATTTACTCCCAATTTAACCCGTATCCCATGTTACTGATTTGCGATAAAAACAAGTAGTTGGAAAATAAGTTTTTTAAGAGTCATTCTCTGTAAGAATCAAAGAATTTAGAAAAAAGTTGGACATGGTACATCACAGATTTTTCTGATTTTTTGCATGCAATGTAGAAACACAATGTATAGAACATTTTTGGGGATAATTTTTTATTTTGAGTCCCGGTTGCCATGGTAACCAAAACCACCATTTTGAGGCCAAAAATACAGAGCAACCTACTGAAAGTATACAATCTTCATCATAAATTTCTGTTTTCTGCATTTTATTTACAGATTTAATTGTTGCCTACTATGATAGAATATTTGTTGGAGTAACTACCACAACTGATGAAATTTTTCAGTAGTTGGTCATAAAAGAGTTGTCTTTTAGTAAAAAGTGTGAATTTTTCAAATTTTAACAAATTTGAAAAAATGCCAATTTTTGGCATTTTCTAAGCGTAGTAGCAAAAAAAACGCGGGCAATCCAGAACAAACAACTACCATCACTAAAAAGGTCATTCCTTACTCAACAAAATATAAAATTTCTAGAGTGGTAATATTTCTTTAAATAAAATAAAACGAAAATGAAAACAGTTGCTATGGAGATTTTGGATTAATTTGTAGATTCAACATTTGGCTTCTTTTTGTACATTATAGCTTTAAGAAAATCAAAGGTAAAACAAATCACACTACTAAACCTCATAATTTTAAAATAAAATGATAGAAATGTAAGTTCATGAATTAAACAAAAATACTGTTTTACTATAGCAACCAAAAATTCAGGAAAAATCACTGTAGCTTTTGACGTTTTCATTATGCAGAATCGGTGGCCTCAGTGCATTATTTAATTTCTTCAATAAATAGATAACACTTATTATATTTGTTATATCACTTATGTACATTTTTTAAAAAAGTAAAAAATAAAAATTTAGGCGCCCCAAATCACGTTGCCATGGTAACCAAATAGTTTTTGAACACTTCCTTATAATGGTTGCTATCACAAATATTGTGATACTGACAAGTATACAACGGATATTATAAAAGCTTCATTCGTTACTTTTTCTCTATTTCAATAAGACAAATTGAATTTAATTGTATTTCACTAAATATCAAAATAGTTATTCATAATTTATTTTTAAAAAATGGTTGCTATGGCAGCCAATATTTCAGGAAAATCCTTATCATTGATATGTTTAATATACAAAATCTACTGGTTTATTGACCGATTAAATTTCTTCCTCAATGAAATAAATTCCACAAACCAAAATTGTAAACCTTGTCATTTCCCTAACATGAATATAGAAATTCTTAATTTTAAAAAAACAATTGCTATAGTAACCAATTAATTCAGGAATAATCCAAATAATTATTGATGTACCAGCATACAAAACTCATAGAACTGCCACCAGTGTTTGATTATGCTTCTAATTTATTTACCGGGACAAAATACAGATGAACTCAAACTGATCACATATATCTGAATTACTGCAGCAGGATTTGTTTCCATGGAAACAATAAATACCTACTTAAAATCATGACCGATCTTTTGGAAGCAACTTGCTTTATTAATTAAAACATATATACACATGTTTTAACCTGTACAAGCAATTCTTAGTTTAAGCAGGACAAGCACATAGTCAAGAGTGCCCCACTCCTCGATTCAACTTGTTTTTGATGTTGTTCAAATGATATTTTGCTGTTCCTTTCGTAAGGAATTATTATACCACCCCTACGAAGGAGAGGGCGGTATACTGATTTACCTTAGTGTGTCAGTCTGTTTGTCTGTCTGTCTGCCTGTATGTATGTAGCAAATGTTTGGCTGCAGTATTCTCAGCAACTCGGCTATTCATTAAAGATGCTTGAAATTTTAGCACAGTGTTTGCTAAGGCATGCCATATGCATGGCTCGAGGTTAAATCTGATGTCAACTTCCTGTTTATCCGCGTGTCAGACACTGTTTGTCCGTACCATACATAAACAAGCATTCTGAAAGTATTGCATAAGCAATACATGCCCCCTACCGGGTTCCTCTTTTTGAAACTGAGTTTTTCTTCAGGATGTCCAATAATACGCAAAAGTTATGTCCAAGGTAGAACTGCTTGATTTTGAGGTTGTGGATAAAATAATCCACATTAAGACGAAAATTCAACTCATTTTTCCAACGTCTTTTTCTCCCTTCATATTTGTGTCGACCATCGGAAGTTAGCGCAGCATGAACCCGATCTCATCCTTGCTATAAATATACTGTGTAAAAAGTGGGGTGAACCATCTTTTCAATGGACATTTCTATAGTATATGTAATGTTGGGGAAAAAGTTGCTACGTGCCTGCCTCAATTAAACGAATGTGAAAAATTCAAAATGCCATTATTCTGTCAAAAACCAATGAAGCGATGCGAAATTCAAAGTTGATATGTAACTCATCAAGATACACCCACATACCAAAATTCAGCTCAATATCTGCAAGCGTTTAGAAAAAAGGTGCGAAAACCCAAGTGGGACAGACTGGCAGGCAGATGGGGACAGACAGATGGATGGACAGCTAGACAGACGGGCAGACGCAGAGGAAATCTATAATCCCCTCCGGTTTCACCGG